TGAAAGAGTAGCTTTGCAAGCTGTCGAATTTTGGTCTACAGTATGTGATGAAGAGCTTGAATTAATGGGAGAAGCTGCGGAGGTACGTACATGTTATTGACTTTCGTTGTTACGAAAAAATATTAAAGTTTAATGAAAAAATAGGCGCAGGAAACAGGTGAACAGCCTGATCGTATAAGCCATAATTTTGCCAAAGCGGCCTTGCCTGAAATATTGCCCGTTTTGCTCTGGCTTCTCACCAAACAAGTATGTGATTATATATATATGTATGTATTTTCCCTGGATTTGTCTAATTGACCAATTCAACACATTACACAGGAGGAAGAAGCTGACGAAGATGACTGGAACGTCTCAATGGCTGCGGGTACTTGCTTGGCTCTTTTAGCTCAATGTGTTGAAGATGCCGTCGTAGCGCCAGTGATTCCTTTCGTAGAAAATCATATTCGTAATAATGATTGGAGATTCAGGGAGGCTGCTGTTATGGCTTTCGGATCAATTTTAGAGGGTCCTGAACATAAGTTACTTGCAAATTTGGTAAACCAAGCTTTACCGGTTTTGATTGATATGATGAGAGATCCATCTCCTCAAGTTAAAGACACAACAGCGTGGACTCTTGGACGTGTCTCCGAACTTTTAATAGAATGTATCAAACCCGACGTTCACCTTCATCCTCTTATTACCGCATTGGTTTATGGCTTAAAGGATTCTCCACGTATTGTGTCCAATTGTTGTTGGGTAAGTGATTAAGTAATTTTATTTATTTTTTTAGGGTTATCATTTATGCCAAATTTAATTAAGTTTATTATTATTATTATTATATTTATTATGTAGGCCCTAATGAGTTTGTCTGATCAATTCGGCAGCAAGGAAACGGCCCAGCCGTCATATCATTTGTCAGCTTACTTTGAGGGAATTATCACTGCGCTGTTGGAAACCACTGAGAGGTATTTATAAACATATTTGTATATTTTGATTTTAATATTCCCATTTATACACTCTCCCTGATAAATCCATCCTATTTTGTGTTTGTAAATTTGTCGATTTTGCGTGTTATTTTCATTAAGGTCAACCAATGAATCTAAC